CACCGCTTCCGTCTACGGCGGGTAAGTTCCTTGGAATATGGAGGCTATCCTTTTCGTGTGCGTTGCAGTATTTGGCGGAATCATATCCGAGTGTGTAGCTGTACTCAATGGAATCCTTTTCGAGTGTGTCGCAGTAATCCCATCTCAGACAATGACCATCTCCATTGAAGCTTGCCAACCACAAAATGTCCCTTTCAGGACAACAGTTTCGCCTGGGCGGTTGCTTCAGTTTCGCCTCATACTCTGCGTATGATTTGAATCCAGAGGCAGCCTTGGAATCCGCAGGAGAATATGCGCCACTGGAAAAGCTGGCTCCGGCGCTAGCATCGCTTGCCATGGTGTGGGTCATTTCTTCAAGAATCTTGAAAGGCGAGTGGTTTCGTTGGTAGACAGAGGATGCGTCGATTGAGTGGTACACGGAAGATGATGTGAGAAGGTCTTTCAAAATCGGAGATGCGGCTGGATGTCATTCCATATCAAGCCCCTGCGGGGTCGTCATGTGAAAAGCCTGATGCAGGCATTAACAAGGCTGTTATGCAGATTTACCTCTGTTTGTACTCGTTGTGCCATATTTGAGCAAGGTTGAGCACCCCGCGCGTAACTCCGTGGTGTCAATTGGCTGGCTAACTGACCTGTGCCACATGCTGGCATACTTAGACCATCAATCGGCCGCGAAACGAGAGCTGAGCGTACATGCCTTCGGGCCGACCTACAAGTTTACACCAATGGGCTGTGTAGAGTTAGAGCGAGTGTGGTACATCTGAAGCGCTGTGGGACTCGTAGGCCCATGTCGTCCTCGTACTCCGCATGTGCTGTAGGGGCTAAAGAATGCGTCGATGCCGGGAATGCTGATCGTGTTGGTAAATAACCAGAAATTTGTGAGACACGAAGCAACTGGAAGGTGTTGTGCGATTGTTACACTGGGTCGTTGTGGAGATACGCTTCGCACTTTGTGAACGCATCTGGTGGCAGCCTGACCGCGACAGCGCCAAATGACCAAGCGGCAACTTTTTACAAACATTTTGATATCTCCGTATGCTGTAACTGAATAGGCAGTAAGCCCTCCATGGTCTTGTGCACCTAGACATGCGATGATGGCTTGTTTCGCGAGTTGTTGCGGCGTGGTCTCCGACGTGGGCCTGCAGATGCGCTGCGACCATAGCGTTCCAGCAATGGAGGCCATATATGGCTGTCGCAACGATAAAAATACATGTGTACGGTGCAGGAGCAAAAAAGACGTGTTCGGTAGTCGCGACTGCCCTCAAGCAGCTAAGGGTGCCGGGTGATGCCGGCGCTTGCCCATGACGTCATCGGCAAACCTCAACCCAGCGTAGCTTCCTCCTGCCTCTTCAACTACACCCAGCTGCCATCCTGATGCAACGTCCGCCTACTACGCTCATGAGTGCATCTTCACGGGAGAAGTCCATAACCCTCCATAGCTCAATCATGCCTCAGGAACCCGCACAGCCGAAGCTGCCCGATCGCGTTCGCTCCGCATTCGAAGTTTGGGTGGACACATAAACCATGTCTTCATAGATGCTATCACGAGCGAACAGCCAACTTTTGAAAGAGTATGGATATGATTGGAAATGACTTTGGAATTCCGCCGGTACTTTGCTGCCTACCGCGAGGTAGACACCACCAATATTCGGATCGATTACATGTTTCCCATACACCTGACTTTGAAAGAAGGCCAGATTTCACGTTCACGCTAAACACGTCGCAATCCTGGAATTTCAGGCTTCCAAATAATGGACGGCGTCTTCAGGGAATGGCTACCGCGAGCATAACCTGTGCGCTGTATGCGTCTACCGTTGGTTCCAAGGAGTCCATGGGAGAGTAACTCTTCACAAACAGCGTCAGCAAGCCGATAGGTCTGAAGTGTCTACAGCAAACAGCAGCGCAACTGTTCTGGTAAGGTAAAGACTGTATGATAGCAAGCATATGCTGCACAGTCCATATTCCTACTCCAGAAACCGCGTTCATTCTGCGACTGACATAGGCTGCGCGCCAGTATAGGCGCCCTTTGCAGCCGTGGTTGTATGGTCACGCGACCCATAACCCTTTTAGTGCACTCTTGGAAGATTCTGCTCAGAATTCACTACTTCAACCTACGTCAGAAAGCACGAGCCCCTTTCAAGTGTACACTTCACTACGATACGCTAACCCAGAACCACGAAAGTTCCCAGTGACGCCTAGATCACGCGCTTGGAACTGTGATATATACAAACAACAGCCTCTACCGTCTCACCACTCGGGCGAGTCGTCACAACATCCACCACTCTCTGTAACCCGACAAAGCCGCCGACATGGCTCACCTCGGACTACGCGCGAGTTGCTTTTCTCTTCCGGCCGCGCCGTACTTCTTCAGCAATGCGTACACTATTTTCGAGCATCCCAGCGGCCCATTTGGCGCGCGTGGTAGTCACACTGGCGCTCTCCCCCCTGCGGCGACATATCTTCGCCAGATAGTCAACCCCTCAACTCCCGCTCATGGTCTGTCGCCTTACGCTAAGTTTCGGCGCTTGGGTCCGGTATGGGCCGTTTTGAGCTTGACGACATGGAGCGCTGCAATAGTCGCCTTCAAGTTGGAGGAGGAGCAGATGAAAGGTACGCAAGTCTTCAAATGCAGTTAGTAGATTGAGACACTGACAGCGCCAGCATTGGAGGACATCCTCAGCGCAACACGCTTTCTTCGCTCGACTCCCCTCGCCTCTACCACCCTTGTGGCGCAAGTCAATCGTGCAGAGTGGGACAACATCTTGATGAACCTACTTCGCATGCCCCACGATAGTCTCTCCGCGACCCTTCGTGCGGTAGCGTCCGAGATCGAGCCAGCACTGGAGATCGAGGCTCTACATGTCCTAGAGCTACCCACACACTCGTCTCCCGTCAAGCTTCACACAGCTGACCAGATGAGCCGCCATAACAAGTTCAACCTCTTCTTGGACGACTTCCCCGCCGGACGTGTCGCGGAAAAGGACTACAGCCTTCTAGCGGCCAAGCTCCTCGAGAACCCCGACTTCTCGGTTGTTCCGCCCTGGCACGAAGAGTTCTCTCTCTTGAGACCTTGGTTCAACGTCGCGCTCGAGCTTCCGGAAGACTACCTCGACAGCGATATCTTTGCGCATGAGATATTCCTGAGGAAAGTCTTCCCTCTTGTCAACAAGCATAAAGGAGCACCACCCCCGAAGAGGCTTCGCGCTGCTATCCACGCCGCGAGCGGCGACGCGCCCCTAGAGGCCGAGAAGATGATGCAAGCTGAATTAAACGCAGCTGCGCTTCTGGAACCTGGTCGCCTGCTGCAGGTCAAGATAGAAGATCTAATTCCTGACGTCGCCAAGACCGAAGAAGAACACAAGGCTTTGCGCAAGATCTCTCTGAAGGAATTGAATATCCCCCGAATCCTGGAATCTGACGACCGCAGCGTCATCCTTCTTCTACAGGCCAAGATGCGCGCCATCATGCGTAACAGCAAGCATGTTGCTGATGTTGATGATACCTGCATCTGCGACATCATCAGCGAATACAGTGATGACGAAGGAGAGCATCACTTCAATGACGCTGCCGCGCTGAAGAACATCTTTCCCCAGCGTAAGCGAGACATCGTCCTTGGTTGGGTCTCATCCATTGAGACTTCAGTTATCCACCACATTACGCTCTCCAGCGCTGATCAGACGTACTGCGAGCCACTGGAGCCTATCGGCGATGCGGACGACATGACTGAAGTAGAAGGCGAGCTCCAGAAAGCGAGCGATATAGAATGGGAGCTCGAAGGTTGCTCCCTCATTTTCCCCCGCGGTCACGATGGTGAGATCTTGCTCGGATATGGCTTCCAGGCAGACCAAGTGGTCTCCGAAGGACACTTTACCAACATGATCAGTGCTGCCTCGCCGTCAGAGTCAAGCTCGGATGCAAGCTCATACGAGAGCGAAGACGAGAAGGCAGCCAACCGCCGCAACTCCGACACCTCGTTGGAGAGCAATACTGCTCGGTACGACTACCAAAAGAAGCGTATCGTGATGGCTTCGGTGGAGCATTTCAACAAGCGCCGGATTAAAAATCTCCACATGGCGTACGGCATTCCGCGTGGTGCGCTGGACCCAGACCAGCCGGGACACAACACGCCCTCTCGTTTTGCGACATGCGACGAAGCTCCGGGCCTACTGGACCAGTTCAACGCGGACTATGAGGTGAAACGTCGCGAGCATGAACATATTGCCGAGTGAAGGAAGATTTCCAGATGGATATCATCTCACATCGGTCACTCTGACAATCCTCCAAGCTTTTGGGACTTTTGTCCTCTCGAAGATGCGGTCGCTGCTCAAACTCGGTCATGGTATGACCGGAAGCAGGCTTTCGGACCTCGCTTCATTTCCAATCTGTCGCTGTACTGTTTTTGTTCTCTTGTTCTCGTTGTAGTTTTGCTTTCTGGCACGCACAACGTGCGGCGTTTCTCCACAGCTTTGATACCCGTCCGTTTCTCTCTTTCGGCGTTTTATATCGACTGCTTCGGAGTTCGAAATGTCTGGAACCTTCCCCAATTTAATACAACTTCCTACTTAATTTCTATAGTATCTTTCTGACTGCACCACGCGATTACACTTCTCGTCACGTGTCTTTTATAAGCTTGCGCTCCGGCTGGTGACCCACTCTTTTCGGCAACCTTGGTTCTCAACTCTGTCCCTAGGTTAGGCTCCAAAGCGTCCTCATAATGCCAGATTTGCTTACTATGGCAGTATGAATGACTGCCCTGTGTTGGACATTGTATCGCAGGTCAACCATAGTTGTGTTAGTGCAGCTTTCGTCTTCGCATTGAGATATGTATATAATGACTCTCGCATTTCACAGTAAAATTGGTTGTTTTTTCACTGTCCCTCCAAGACTTTCAGACTATCTTCACCCAAGTGCACTCACCAAACCAGACACTTTCTCAACCACGCGCATACCAACATCACGCGCCTACACTTTCGAAAGCAGAACAAGCAATAGCCAGCATCATGTTCTCTCAACTTGCAGCTTCCAAGAGCGATCAGGCCACTGTCATCACCAAGCCTGCCATGCAAGAGCATAATGATGTTGTTCTGGAGCAAAATCACCCAGATAAGCCAGACCACCAAGACTGCCCAGAATTCCAGGCGGCCAAGAAGCACGAAGCCTTCTTGCAGCTAATCCGCGAATCGCCGGCATGGATGGCTGACAAGTATTTGAACGGCCTCTCCGACCCAGTGCGCCGAGATTTCGACGAAACTACCGACAAGACTAAACGATACTGGGCGCAACATCCCGACTTTTTCTTGCTCCATTTTGGTAACTCTGGATCAAGCTCTGAGGCATCCAGTGGGAATCAGTCAACGCTGCCGACGCAGGTTTCGTCTGATCTTGCTGAAGATGATGGGCACGTTGATCACAAGACATTTATCCACGCACCAAGGCCGCGCCGCGAACAGCGGATCGCCGCCAACTTGGAGGAAATGATCGAACAGGCCGAGGCCTACGATCCAATCTCCCCTGCTACCTACGAAGCTGTCCACAACGCGCCCGAGAGGACGTTGAGGCAGCCTGACAACTACCAGACGTACCAGAGCGGGTGGCAACAACGTCTATACGCATTGTGGTGGGGACATCAGAACTACGCTCAGCCAGCGTTCGCCCATGGATATCCCGGGGAGTATACACGGTGGTCGCAGGGTCAACAAATACCTCCTTATGAGCAATGTCAGCCTCAACCACCACCAGGATACTTACAATACCATGCTACCCAGTCGATGTATATGCCTGGGTATCATGCTCAGTACCAGCAGCAGTATATCCCATGGCAGCCAGGATTTGGCTACTACAGACAGTTCCCAGTACAAAGGCCAGCATATGCGGCACATCAACGCCCGCGATTTAACACTTATGCGGATGAGATGACATGGATGGGCTTCGCACGTTGAATGGATAAGATTCGATTCGTAGCCTACTCCCTGACACCGACGTAGCATACTCTACAATCCCAACGCCTCACTAATACCTCCAGTGAGGTTACCCAAGATATTCGACCCACCAACAATAGCAAAGAACACATCTTTGTACGAATCCCTAGCAGCAACCGTTAGCACATATCTCCCACAAAACCAGACAGTCAGGAAGAAAACTTACGCCACAATTTTGACCCCCTCCAGCAACGGCTCCGGCGAACTCGACTGCAACTGCACAATCATCAACCCCAAACTGGGCAATGTCGTCGACAGCACACTCGGCCTCCACCCCAGCTCAAACGGCAACTTCTCCATCTCAAACAAACTCCTCACATACTCAAGCTTGGCCTTGCCCGTAACCGGATCGCCCATGGTAGAAAGATACAAAGCATTCTCTCCATAACTCAGCACCGCTTCTCTCGTTCCATACACAAACTCCGGATTCCTCTTTTGACTATCCGTCGTGCGCGCGTACTTCGCCTTACTCGCCGTCGGGATATCCGTACGCTCTTTCCCGTTGAAGAAGGAGATGTATTGTTGCCACGTTGGGTTGTGGAAGGGCTGCGGGTTAGCGAAGTAGGCATCTTGGCGGGACATGCTGGCGTCGTGCTCGATGGGGAAGTTGTGCATAGACAGGTCGTCGAGGTCGAAGGAGCCGCCTAGGGGGTTGGGAGAGGAGAGTAGACCCGCGGCTCCTATGGCGGTTGTGAAGTCTGCGCCCATGTTTAGGCCGGCGGCGAGGCCGGCGATTAGGTGCGGGATGGTCATGTTGCGCCCGTTGCGGTGGATGAAGTCGTGGTTTGCTAAGGCGTTTAGACCGGGGCAGGGGGAGCGTACATCACCGCTGGAAGCGGGATGCCAGTTTGTCCATCGAGGGTCGCTCGCCGGTGCTGGGGCGAGCGAAGTGAGTAGATTCGCTATGTCGAGTGGGAGATCTAAAAGGCCTTTTGCTGATACTACGCCGGCTCCGACGAGCACTGTGGTGACGAGTGTAGAGCGCATGTTTCCGGTTGTTTCAAGAGGTGTATATATTTCCCTGCAATCCCGAACGGGATGGATGTTGAAGTACAGTTAAAAATTCGATAGTAAACACAAAAAACGTTCCACAACAGACGTCCATCCCGTCCTTAAGCTTTCCCACATCCACTACTCAGGCAACTCCCCCATAATCCCCTCGTCCAATGACCACGCCCCCAATCCCGCTGACCCCTCATCCTCCTCTTAAAGCCCTGGATCGTGCCTCGGAGCCTGTGCATAGCGTCATGTAGCTCGCATAGTCCCGCGTAGTTCCTGCATAGCTAGTCGTAGCCGGCATATAGTCCCCACGTAGTCACGTAGTCACCCGTAGTCAATCACTACTACTACAGGTCAAATCGACTGACATCGCTGCGGACCTGGATGCCGTGGCTGGCGACTCATGCTGATCGGCGGCTAGGCAAGATCGAAGTGCGCCAGATCGACAGACTCCAGACCCACGACGGGGAGATCGGTGATGCGAGGGTAATTGGAATGCACGGAGAGGGGAAAGTCGGCACGATGGGGATCAAGATATGGGGTCGATTGGGTTTGAGTCTTGATTCGTGTTGTGGTTTTGTTGTTCTTGCGGCGAGGTGCAAAGGTGGTTGGGGCGGTGACGTCATAGCTGCGCTGAGCCGGGTAGTTTGGGGGCCGAGGACATATTGTTTGTCTTGCATTCGCTTTACCTTGCCGTTCATCCCTGCCTCGCTGTACATCGATTTTCCGATAGCAGCAGCAATACGATGAGTGCGATTACTCAATGCTCTAAAGATCGATGTGTAGCGGCGAGGTCGTCACGAGTTCGACATGGGGATGATGCATGATTTTTGAGTATCTTCATTCTTTTTACATTATTATTGCTGACACCTCTCCATATCTTCGCCTAACCAACATTATTGCGTTCTGCGCTGTTACTTCCATCAATCTGGAGCACTGTCTTAGGCGTGACGGCCGACAGGGCTCGTAATGTCTACCATTGCGCACTCAGGGCTTCGATTCTAATGTCAACTTGTATGCACGCTCATGCAAACTTATATACGCAAAGCACCGCCGCAGTGAGTGCGACTATTCTACTCTGATCGCGTTGACGCAACGCATGCGGAAACGTGCTTGAATGAATGAGTAAAACCATCTCATGCAACGGAGAAACTTAACAGGCCTGCAGCCTACACTACGGCAATGATAAGCAAATAAGAACACGCAGCGTTAACGTAGGCTTCAAAGCAATCCCAAACCAACACCACTCATCCAATCCCCCACCACCTCATCAGAAAGCCTCTCAAACTCATCCCAAGACTTAGCCTCCAACTCTTCCTCAACTCTCCCACCCCGTAGCCGCCAGCACCCCACATCACATCTACAAGCCGGCGGATAATGATTCTGCGGCCTCCACGCCTCATCTTGCTCGTCCTCATCCTCGTCGTCTATACCAATAGTTTCCAAATCAATAGGATCAGGCTCATGCACAGCGAAAATACGATAATACAGTGCAGGATACTCCTCGAGGTACATAGCATGCCGCTTGAAGATATCATACCACTTCTCCTTCACCCACGGCTGGACATCGCCAGTTAGGGTAATCGTCTTGATATGTTGGAGATACCCTCCATACCAAGCATACTCCAGTATCCAGTCAATGACCAAGCCACTATCACACACGTGCGGGCGTAGCCTTGCTTCCGCGTAGTTCCAGACCGGATTCTTCTCGCACCAAGCAGCTTCTCCGACGTCGTACCAGGGGTTTGCCTGCTTGTATGCATCGCCGAAATGGATCTCGAGTTCCTTTGTGTGCAAAAGGAAATGGCCGGCGCCATGGCAGAATTCGTCGCGATATAAGTTATCGCCGGCAACTGCACCGTCGCGGTAGTGGAAGGGTGGTACCGCGACGTCGAACATGGCGAAGTATTGTTCAGCCGTGAAGTCGAGTTTGATCTTCTCTAGTCCGTGGAGCGATGAGAGATGCTTCATACGAGCGTATTGCGCACCGCGATCGTTTATCACAGGAAACTTCGTCGACAAGGAGAGTTTCGGGTCCTGGCAAATGGCATCCCATGGCTGGTTGGGTAGATAGTACCAGCCTATGCGGTCCTTCATCTTCAAACTCATCAGGAGATGGCTCATGTAGAATGTTGTTGGGTCGGAGAACTCTTTGGCGTCGGTCAGCCAGGAGCGGATCCGAGACCGAAAGTATTCTTGGAAAATGAATGACGGCACATCGCTGGTCCTGGAGATGGTGGCGAAAGGATCGATGTTTTCAGGATTGGTGTACGATAGTGTGTAATGAGGATGGGCGGAGCCATCGATTACGATGCGTTGTTGGCCGAGCCAATGCTGTAGTACGCTGAGGAGTAGTTCTGGGGGTAGATTCTGTGCAGCGACTTGGAATGTCATTTGGTCATCGTTGCTTGAACATGGTGCCATGGTTCAGAATACTGCCTTGAAGAATAGACGTCAAGACATGGGTAGAGGGCCTATATATGTTTTAAAGTGCATGCTTAAGCGCATCGTTGGTATGATTTTCGTCACTGCGCGTGGTTTACAGTCCGGTTCGTGAATCGGTACCACAGTTCGTACTCAACACCTGAATAAGTGCGGAAACGCGGAGACACTAAGGTGAATTTCTGGTCATGCTGCGTTGTAAACAAGTAAGCGGCAGTGTTGTTGGCATGGGTGTGAATATGTGCTGGGCATGGATATTGAGTGAGCGGAGGAATCGGCTTTGCCACGCTCCCATCGACTCGAGATCTGACCCATGGTTGGGAAGCGTGGCATGACAGATCCTACGCCACGGAGGATCATCTTGACAGGATATGAAATGGTTGATCGAACAGAGAGCAGTATTTTGGTGACATTGAATATCGCATATGCTTGCTGATGTTTGCCAGATATTGAAACAGGTAGTTGTACAGTCGCTATTGAACATGGTCATGATCGTCGTTTGGTTGGCGCTGGACTCCAGCCCTGGGGTTGCCATTCCTGGCTCTGAGCCGCCTGCTTCCATGGCGAGTCCTTGGGCTCCTTCTTCATCCTCTTTCTAGGCGTGAAGGCAGGCGCGTCGTCTTCGGTAGGAGGTGCTGGCGGGTCGCGTGGCATCTGCTGAGGCTCTGCGGGTTGTTCGGGCTCTACTGGCGCTGGACTCGCGGCTTCCTGATCGAGTGGCCGCGGTGGCTCTATGCTGTCGCGTATCTCTTGGTCGGCATTCATTTGCGTGACGCCGCTGTCTGGGTCTCGCGACTGCAGCATTTGCACGGGCTGTTGCTTATCCGGCGCATCGAGCGCCGACGGCTTCTCGGCCCATCGTGCATCTGCCTGCGCGGCCAGCTGCTTCATCCGCTCCTGCCTCATCATATCCTGGTGTTGTTCGGCGACGGTGGGGGGTTCGTAGCGCGTGTGTCTCAGCCATTGCATCCATGACGCTGCCACAGTCAGCCTCGGTCAAACACTGGATAGGGAAGGAACAAACGTGATATTTGCACGTCGCCATAGTGAGTGCTGCGACTGTATTTTGCTATTCGCCGGTTGCGCAGGGCGTGCAGAGCGTCTTTGAATTCCCAGAAGGTGTTGCCCTGGAGATCGAAGCCTACGAAGTGTTATTACTTGGAAGCAAGGATACGCCAGAGACCTATGTCGAGGCCTGCACTCACCCACAAGCCACTTCTTGCGCCAGGGGAAGCGCTTCATCTTCCATTGGTACCATGCTTTGCGAATTGCACCCGGTGCGCCCGCCATGCTGAGTCTCGTTGGGCCGCGAACAAATTCCAGCGGGCGAATATCTGGAGGCGACTTTGACGCGCAGCCGGTGACGTTGGGGCGAGTGGCTGGTGCGTTCACGTTAGCACATGTGCAAGCATTCCCCCCACCACCAAGTTTCTCCACACAACAACACATGCCATCATTGCATACCCCGACGCCACAACAACACACGTAGCAGTCGAGGCCCTTACATAGAGACATATACATTATCATATCTCACTACTACACCTCGTGCACCCTCCCCATCACCGCCCACACGACCTTCGTGCCCAACAGCAACAAGCCTGATTTGCGCCCAACCCAACCACCATGGCGTCTGTAACGTCGCTAGATCAGGACATGCGGAGGCTGCGGATGGACCGATATACCCCCCAAGCAGCCAACGAAGTCCGCAGTTGGATAGAAGACACACTCGGAGAGCGCCTGCCTGCGGGAGATCTCCTGGACGCGCTCAAGGATGGGACCGTATTATGCAGGTACAGTGATATCCGCAGCTACCAGGTAGCCGGGCCAGTATAGCTAACTTTCCCAGACTCATCAATCTTGCCATACCCACGCCTGTCCGGTTCAAGAAGTCGAATATGCCCTTCATACAGATGGAGAACATCTCGCACTTCCTGCGAGCTTGTGAACAGCCGCCGCTGAACATGCCCGCCCATGACCGCTTCCTCACCGTCGATCTCTACGAATCGAAAGACCCAGCTCAGGTGCTGCAGTGTCTCGGCGCCTTCAGCCGTGTCGCCAACGCGAAGAACCCGTCCAACTTCCCCAACGTCATTGGTCCCAAGCGTGGTGGAGCTGGCGCGTCGAGCCCGACAGCAACCGGCGGCATGGCGAGTCCTGCATTGCCGTCTCCTGGCTTCCCACGCAGCAGAGGACCTAGCACCGCCAGCAACACCAGCGGCTCGAGCACATTCAACCCCCTTGCGCGACCTCCTGCCGAACGGACAGCATCGACGCTCAGTGCCGCACGCACCGGGGGTTCAGACACATCATACACATCCAACGGTCTCCCCAAGTCACCTCCAGGCGGAGTCAGTAGCTGGAGCAAGAAGGTCGACGAAGGCAGCACAGCACCGGCATGGAACATTCATCAGTACGGATACATGGGCGGTGCGAGTCAAGGCAATCAGGGCATCTCATTTGGTGGCCGGCGGCAAATCACGAGCGCAGGCCCGCACGTGCCGAACCTGGCTGAGAAGGAGCGACTGCGACGCGAGAGGGCAGCCGAAGAAGAGCGACTACGTTTGCAAGCTGAGGAGGCCGAGAACATACGTCGCGTCGAACGCGAAGCCGAAGAAGAGCGCATACGCATAGAGGAGGAGCAGAAGTGGGAAGAGGAGACTCGCAAACAGCAAGAAGCCAAGCAGGCGCGACTGGATCAACAGAAGCGCGAGTGGGAAGAGCAAGAGCGCCAGTGGAAGCTGGAGGAGGAGCAACGCCAACGTGAAGAGCGCGAGGCACAGGATAGAATCGACGCCGAGACGAGACGAAAGCGCGCTGGAAGTGATGCCAGGCTGAAGGGGCAGTACCTGAGCGAATACCAGGCTGAGAAGGTCAGGTCGCCGCGGAGTCGACGAGGAAGCAGCGAAGAGCCCAACGCTGAGCGCGACCGCATACGAGAGCTAGAACGCCAGCTCGAAGAGGCCAAAGAACGCGAGCGCCAGTACCAGGCAGAGCGGGAAGGACGCCTATCAGACAAGAAGGTGCGATCGCGGTCCAAGAGCCGTACACGCGAGCGATCCAAGAGTCGAGCCCGACCAGCGCCTCCACCCCGCGCTCCCTCGCCACAAGACAGCAACGTCTCATGGGCGCAAGCAGACGATCGCGAGTACCTGCGCAAGCAATGGGACCAGACACAAAGACAGCCAGCACGACCTCTCCCCGAGCCCGCAGCGCCATCTCTCCCCACGCGTCCACTACCCGAACCCACCACGCGACCCCTCCCCGACCCAGCCGCATACACAAAGCAGAGCCGAACAGACCGCTACCTCTCCTCCAACCCTGCCCCCACACCACCGAAGCCTCAAACCTACATTCCACCTGAGCTCACATCCACCTCCGAGCAACGCGGCGAAGACGCCCGCCGAGCCGCCGCTCAAACAAAGACTAAGGCCGCCGGCTGGGCCAGCAAGTCGCTCCTTGAACGCGAGATGGAACGCGAACGCGAGCGCCAGAAGGAGTGGGAAGAGTCGCAGCGTGCGCTGCAAGAAGCGGCCAAGGACCCTAATGCGGGGACTGGCGGTGGACAGAGCTGGGACGTCAATCAGTATGGATATATGGGTGGGGATAATCAGAATAAGTTGGGGGGAATTGGGGCGGGGAAGAGGCAGATTATTGGACCTAGGCCTTTTGGACCTAGGTAGATGGGATGGGATGAGCGGAGGGGAGAGGGTGATTTCGTTTGTTTAGGCTTGGTAGATGTTGCATGTTAGCGCTGCTTGCGGCGGGATATGTACGTTTCTAATACATTAATTTTAGACTTTCTGTATATCTGCTTCTGTTGAGAAATGTGAATGTACTGTGCTTGGTGCAATGAGGAAGAAGGCTTTTCTTTAGTATCGGTCACTTTAGATTAGCCCGGAGGGCGGTATCTTCTTGGTATCTGGACGAGATATGTTTTCCAGCTGGTATTGGGGGGCTTGCTTCTTTGCGAGCACGGAATTGGTTTGAAGAACTGGCCAATGGTCAACTCCAGGCCGAACGCTGTTAAGTGATCGTGAGCATTGAATCATGCCGTACGCTGTGATGTTCGTACGGTCAATGTTGTTAGATTGGTAGGAATGTAAGGCTGCGAACATGCTCTAAGTTACAAGCTCACTCAAAAACAGTCCAAGATATAGAAACATCGTATTCGCTGTGGAGATATATATTGAACACGCACTTCATGCAGCCGACGTGCAATACGGCTCAATGACTGTAGTGATGGCGACAGAAATGTCTAAACCGCCTAACCCGTCTTACTCACGACGAAAGCAACGATGAGACCGCAGGCAGTTATCATGTACGCGCTCACGCCGAATGCGCCCTGGATGTCGTGCTTAATCACCGACCAACATATTCCGAAGAGCAGACTTCCTCCGATGAGTATGACAAAGCTGATCGTGATGATGAGGTCGAAATCCCAGCCTTCTTGGAAATAGAATCCCCATCCTTCCGTTGGGTGGTCAATACCTGCCTTCAATTCGCCCGTAGTACGCTTAGGGACTAGGTTGTAGATCCAAGTTGACTTCTCATTGATCTTGTCTGGGTATTTGAGCATGTGAAGTAGCGTTTGTGGTCCAACGGGTGGCCAGGTACCTTGGCGAAAGGGAAGAGTGCGTCGATATTCTGCGGCAGGGGATGGGTGGACCTTTCGCAGTGGAGGAACGCAATTACACTCTCCTGGCTGAGCTGAGGGCCACTGGCAAGACGGGATGTGGTGGCGCACCTCAACGCTGGTACTGTTAAAGAGACGGAACTGCTGTTTTGTTAGATTGTGGTCTCGATGTTAAGAGTGGATGCTTGGTTCACTGACATTGCTAAAGAATATCCCTTGAATGGAACGGCATGATAAAGCAAGTAGCATACGGTTGCGGCGTTTCGAGACTCTTGATTTCAGGATGCTAAACAGCGCCCGGTCATTGTCAATAAAGCTGACATCGTTCTGAAGTAGTACCGTTTCGTCGCGTGTTCGATGCACACAAGCCATGAGGTGGAGTGTAGTCGATTGTTGCTGTGGGCCGCTCGCATTGGAGACGCCGGTTGCCATTGCCATACCGCCACCATTATGACGAGGGAGGCCTGTTTGATCCTGGCTGGGCCATTTGAAGGCTCTGAGTACGCTGCGACTGATGCGAAAGAACCAAGTCAAGATCCCACCGGTATATCTCTGGTTTTCAGAGCCACGCTGATAACGAACGACCGTGATGTTGGCTTCTGGTAAAGACTGCCGCATTTCTTGTGCCATATGATCAATGATATTACCCGGTCCGATTCGCGAAAACCTTTCCAATGCCTGGAACCTGGATTCTCTGAAGTCGTCGAAGAAGCGATCGCCATAGTTCTACGGTCAAGGTCAGTGAAAATCAATCGTAGGAAATTCTTTGCCAAGACACACATATTCACATCTTATCCGAGTCCAACCTGTTCGGGGCAGTGGAGGCTCTAGCCACCCCAGGTCGATGAAGATGCCATCTGTCAACAGCAAGACAAAATCGAGTAAGAGAAACACCGCGACTTTCGCTCCAAGTAATCGGTCAAAACCCAAGAGCAGATTGCGCGCCAGTTCCTTGGTATCTTCCTGCCACGAATGCCAATTTCGCTCCGTGTTGTCTTTAGTAGCAGGTAATGGCCTTCGCACGAGCGAAGCCCGCTTCTGTATTGTGGCTAATCTTTTCATGTAGACAGCATGCATGGCCACTTGCAGTGTTGTGTAAGCACTGCTCTCCGTCAAGAAAAGACGAATAGCTCTCGGATCCCTTGAATCTGCATCGATAAGTTGTGACTCCACCGTTTTATCTTCGACTATGCCCTTCCGGATCGTACTCGTTCGCCGGCGAAAGTTCATAAGGATCGCTGATACGCTGCGATCTCTTGCATTTCCTACATTTCTTGTCGATGAGCCAGCAAAGTGTTCAGCGACTCTGCGCGCATTTGCGCGTGTGAGGCGATAGGCTTGGAACTGAAGATGGTTATTTGCTTCCACATGGAGATTTTCCGCAAAAGTTTCCAAGGCTCGACGCAGACCCATCGATAGTCCCAAGTCTAGAGACCTGGTATGTATGCCCAGAGCCAGGTACAGGGGCTTCAAGAGCTCGTCCTCGGAGAGAATAGAGATAAGGATTTGCGTAGCACTTTCTCTTTGGTTGGACGAGAACCTGCTATCCTTGGAAAATCTCTCCCTTGAATTTCCTGGAGCGTTTTCATGATACAAAGAGTTATGGAACTTCGATGGTGATGATACGTTATGCTCATCGTCCAAAGTGGGAAAATCTGAAGTGTCCCAGTGGCTCTGCATCGCCGCGGCTGAAGTCAATACCTGGGATGCCGCTGCATCGCCGATCTCGTCGCCAATACCACCGTTTGACCCCCAAAGTTCGAATTGGAATCCGCAATTGCCCGCTAGAATTCCAAAGCTGAGGTTGCAAGGCCTTCGTCAATGTGCGTTCCGATGTTCGGGAAAGGTTTTGAGCAGATGAATCATTTGTGGACAAGTACCGAGAATTTGATCTCCGCTCGATTTCCGAGCTTCTTGGTCTCTGTACCCTACAGTGGGCACAAGAGGTTTGAGGTATTGGTATTCAATCTCTTGGAGAGGCGGATATGAAAGATACTGTATGATTTCCGCGGGAAAGGTGATGGAGAAGGCGTAATCGATCTTGATAGAAGGCTACGTCTTACCTACCAGGCTGAAGGATGGCTGGCTGAGAATGAGTAAGCAATGAACACATATCGGCTCAGCCCCATAGCTTTCGTCCTGTATTCAGCCTTGGAGCGACCAATGACAATTGGACAGCTCCAACACTCCGCGGAGTAAAAACGATTGCAGCTCTGTCAAAGCCCGAAATCAGCCAGCTCATCTTTTTGTGAGCGCGATGTAGCGGCGGATGACGGTAGTGAGCTAGAAAGCTGCTCAGGTGAAGATGGGTCACCATACATTGCCCATCGAGTAACGAGCTAGCCGCATTCGTTCTACCTCGGCTCCATCATCACAAGCTCCAACCGAACGACTCGCCCGCCCAGGTCATCAGAGCCGCCGACATCTCACTCCTCATCTTACGGACGTATCGGCACTTTTCTCAGCATAGATTTTCGACTTTCCGGGCAAGAACTCAACACCGGCTTCATAAGAGAAGAGAAGGAGCAAGGAACTCGACAAAGATTAGGCGTACTACGCGACTTCAGAAGCTACAATGGCGGAAGCATACCAAAAAGAGTTCTTCAACGTTTCCTTTCCAGCGGAATATGTTGCGCATGTCGAGATTAATCGACCGGAGAAGCTGAATGCTTTCAAAGAGGTGTGAGTGGACAACAATTCCTTTTTTTCACGGAAGGTCCGGGTTTATGGCCTCGGAATCCACGCGTATCACGTGTCATCATGAAAGAGACGGGAAGGAATCATATCAATGTCGCGAATTGCTGGGGACATCTATGCTATATGGTGTTCATATATTATCTCCAAATCGTGTATAGCCTATACGCCATAGGACGCACACATCCCACAACCCCATCTCCACAAACCCCCAACTAACGTTGCCCAGCATGTGGCTAAACCTCTCCACCATCTTCCGCCAACTCTCCCACGACCCCTCCGTGCGCGCCGTCCTCCTAACCGGGGCCGGCGACCGCGCCTTCACCGCGGGCCTAGACGTGCAAGCAGCCTCAGAAAACGGGGCCCTATCCACGCAAGCCGACATGTCAGATGGCGCCCGCAAAGCCAACGCCCTGCGACGCCACATCCTAGAATTCCAATCCTGCATCACCGACATCGAAAAATGCGAGAAGCCCGTTATCTGCGTGCTGCACGGCGTATCCTTCGGTCTAGCGCTGGATATGTCACTAGCGTGTGATATCCGTGTGAGTACGACGACGACGAGGTTTAGTGTGAAGGAGGTGGATATAGGACTTGCGGCTGATATTGGTACTTTATCTCGTCTTCCTCACTCTGTTGGCAATCTGTCATGGGTTAAGGATATTGCGCTGTCGGCGCGGATCTTTGGGTCGGATGAGGCGCTGCAGCATGGGCTTGTGTCCAAGGTGTACAAGGATAAGCAGGAGGCGGTTGCTGAGGCGACCAAGTTGGCGACGTTGATTGCATCAAAGTCGCCGGTGGCGGTGCTGGGGACGAAGGAGATTATCAATTACTCCAGGGATAGGCCGATTAGTGAGGGCTTGAACTACACGGCTGTGTGGAATGCGGCTATGCTGCAGACGGCGGATGTCAAGGATGCTATGATGAGTGGGTTGAAGAAGACATCGCCCAAGTTCAGCAAGCTGTAGAAAGGCCATTGAATGTGTTTTGGAAAGACCCTGGGATGCGATTATCATTTGAAAGACTTTTATCCCATACCATATCCGAGCAGCGAGACACACTTCGTTCATCGCGGAGGACGTCTCAGTGAGCAGCCTTACCATCCCATAGCCCACATACGAAAACATAAACCACCACGCATGGCAAGCAACCACTTTTGGACTTGAGAATTTTCATTGACTCTAAGCGCCTGGACGTGGTAATGCCGGAAGAGTCCCAAACCCATCCCGCATGAGCATCAATCATAACCCATGGCATGCTACAGAAGATGTGGAATCGTGATTTTCCCGTTACGCCCCGTTGCACTACCCAACATGCACTACCTTATCCCCTCGCCATGACACCCCAGCAGCGGATACGGTTGTCGGTGTATCCGGCGAACAGGGTCTGGCCGTCGGCGCTCCAGGCCAAGGAGACACACTCGGGCTCCCGGCTCTTCTTGCCAACCTCCATGTACTCAGGCTTGAGCTCGTCAACCTTGGACTTCTTCTCGAGGTCGAAGATGATGATGCTGGAGGCGGTGGCAGCGCACAGCCAGTAGCGGTTGGGGGAGAAGACAAGGGCGTGGATCTCGTCACCAGCGGAGAGAGAGTAGAGGTGCTTGGACTCGTTCAGGTCCCACAGCATGGTGGTTCCGTCCTTACCACCGGAGGCGCAGAGGGAGCCATCGGGCGAGATGGTGACGGTGTTGATGTAACCGGTGTGACCGATGTGGTCGGTCTGGATGCGGCAGGAAGCGAGTTCCCAGACCTAGATGTTGTCAGCTTCCCGAATTTGAAGTGGCTTGAAGCAGATCGAGTGAGGAGCGTAAATCAGTACTAGGTGATAATTGTCTCATAGCCGAAGCTCTGAAGTAGCAAATACATAGATATTCATCATATAAACAAGGAAACGGAGGGATTTGTGTAAACGCGGATGTACGCACCTTGACGAGCTTGTCCCAACCAGCAGAGACGATGACGGGGTTCTGGGGGTTGGGGGAGAAGCGGACGCACGAGACCCACTCGGTGTGGCCCTTGTCGGTGATGGTGTACTTGCAGTCACCGAGGGTGTTCCAGAGCTTGATGGTTCGGTCGCGCGATCCGGAGACGATCTGGCGGTTGTCGGCGGAGAAGGAGACGGAGAGAACGTCGTTGGTGTGGCCGACGAAGCGGCGGGTGGTGACACCAGTGGAGAGCTCCCAGAGGCGGAGGGTCTTGTCCCACGATGAGGAAAGAGCGTAGGCGCCGTCAGAGGAGATGACCTGTGCAGCAATTGTCAGCTCAGCCGTCGTCGCTTCCTAGCTAGCCAATTGCCCAATTTTGTGGTGAACGTACACAGTCGGAGACAATGTGGGAGTGACCGTGCAGACTCCTCTTGGGGTAACCGTAGGAGGTCTCGTCGCGGGTCAGGTTCCAGATGATCAGAGTCTTGTCGCGCGATCCGGATAGGAGCATGTTGGGGCTAATCGCGTGTCAGTATTGCGCATTCGTGCATTTTCCCTCTTCCCGCGTATACGCACTTCTCCAGGGAGGTTGCCAGGGAGGTGACCCAGCCGGAGTGGCCCTCGAGGGTGCCACGGAGTACGAGTTGCTCGGCCATGATTGCGATGAGTGGCTTCTGCTTGGGATGGACGTAGGCGCACTCGGGTGTTAATAGTTGTTCGTCGAAGAGCACTGCGCACAAAGACTGGAGGCTTCAAAATTCCAAGGTTGATAGGCGAACCACTAGCGTCGTTTGGGCTTAGCGTGGACCGTCAGCACTGGTGCCCTTACTCGACATTTGACCTCACTTGGACATGACATTGTCAAGCCATTAACTAAGTACCTGGAGTGAGTAATACAGCCCTAATGAATAGTGGTTTACCACATGACGCCACTCCACGCGATATCTCATCCTCAGCAACTCACTCCAAAGTCAGGTATAGAGGGGTCAACTTGCTTGCGCGTATCTCACCTCTACGTTACGTGCCACATTATCGCTTACATTGTATAAGCATTCGCGTTGATTCTATTTCTGAAGAATTGCATCAGTGCACTATCAAGACTAGTCAATGCATCTCTACTCGTTCCTTCCTTAACTTCACAACCTCTATCCAAAGCCGACTAACTCCGGTTTTCCAAGTCTTATCTCCGCGCTCCTTCCCCACCATAGAAACGTACACAAGCATAGAACAGCATACCTCGCATGTGATAGATGATGACCTGATCCTGTTCTTGATCTCATGCGATGACTTACACTCACGTAAATATAAGACTAAGTCTCTACCTGACGTGAAACCCTCCACTTGCTTCCATCAAGATAATATCCATCTCATAATACTCACATACCACACTATCAAACATTCCTCCAAAATGACCTCCCCCGAAACCACCATCCTCCTCCTCGGCGCCGGCGAACTAGGAACAGCCTTCCTCCCTCACCTCACCGCCCTCCCCAACACCCACATCACCATCGGCATCCGCTCCCCATCCAAATACACTCACCTCCAATCCCCCAACATCTCCCTCACAGCCATCGACCTCTCCTCACCCTCTCCCTCCCTCGCCAAAACCTTCTCCGCATACGACATCCTCATCTCCGCAACAGGTTTCGGCGCCGACCCCAGCAGCGTCCTCAAGCTCGCCGAGGAAGCACTGCTAGCCGGCAAGATCAGAAAAGATCAGGGGAAAGGGAAGTTATGGTTCTTTACCTGGCAGTGGGGTGTCGATTACGATGTCATTGGTGATGGAGAGGGGCTGATGCCTTTGTTTGGTGCGCAGCGCGATGTGAGGAATTTGTTGCGGCGGAAGGCAATGGAGAGTAATGTCAAGTGGACGGTTGTTAGTACGGGGATTTTCATGTCGTTCCTTTTCGAGCAGTTCTGGGGGATTGTGGATCGGAGTGAAGAGGGGGAAGGAAAAGTGGTGGTGAGGTGTTTGAGGGAATGGGATCATAAGGTTACTGTGACGGATGTGAATGATATTGGACGGGTGTTGGCGAGGGTCGTAGTGGGGGATGTGGAGGCTGAGGACCGTGTATTGTACATCGCGGGCGATACGATTAGTTATGGGCAACTGGTTGACATCGTCAAGCGGGTGAGCGGGAAGCAGGTTGAGCAAGAGGCGTGGGGTCTTGAGCATTTGAAGAACGAGCTTGACTCGGCGCCAGAAGATGGTATCAAGAAGTATAGGCTGGTATTCGCCAGGGATGGTGTGTGGTGGGAGATAAGCGGGACGGTGAATAAGGCACTGAGCATGGACATGATGGATGTTGAAACGTTTGCCAAAAGTCTGTTCAGTAGATAGAAGGTGGTCGGCAACTAAAAGCAATGAGCGTGTTGTGAGTTTCGATATAGATTTCGTAAACCGCATTACGTATAATTACTGACGAACTCTTTGACAAGTAATACTACATGAGCGTGAGCCGAAAGCATCGCGACAGCCTGGGGATGGGACGTACTTGTTCCCAAGTGCCTTCACAGCCGTCTTGCTCTCGCTTCCCCTAGCGTATGGTCGCAGCCTGCGCTATACCCTCTTGATCCGTGTCGGGACTATGGCGTTCGCGCCTGTAGCTGCTCCACCTCCTTCTCGTCCACCACCCCTCATGGAAACTCCGGGTATATCTTCATCGTTCTGCCTCTTCCTCTTCATTCCCGCCTCAAGGGCCTCAGCTGCGTAGTTGTCGTGACCAAAGGCAGGTATCATTCCTCCATGTGCACCAGGTCGCTCCTAACGTCCCGGTGGTCCAGGAGGGTATCTGCCAGGAGGTCCGCCAGGGGGCATTCCCATACCGCCTGGGGGTGGATAAGGCATTCCTCCAGGGGGTGAGCCTGCCTGTCCTGGTGGTGGGAATGGGAAGGGCGGCATTCCTTGGGGTGGGCCGCCTCCCATGTGTGGTGGTGGAAAGGGCGGCATACCGCCAGGGCCCGGGGGCATACCGTTTGGCGGAGGGAAGGGTGGCATTCCGTTGGGTGGCATTGGAGCTGTCGCGCTGTCAGTATGGGATCGTGTGTGGTAACTGTGCGGCAACGTACGACCTCCGCGGCCCATGAAGTTTGGAGGCATTCCACCCATGGGCGGCATTCCTGGCGGCGGGAATCCAGGCATACCCATCGGTGGCATTCCCATTGGAGGCATTCCGCCCATGGGTCCGCCAGGGAAGCCACCAGCCAGGTTCTGTTGGAACAGCGGGTTGGCCTGTCCTTCTGTGTTGTATGCGTCGGTGATACTATTGATGACTTGCTGTGTCTGGTCGCTCGATATCTGCTCGTAGTAGGCCTGGACGTTGCGGAGGTGGTTGCGGCCGTTGTTGTGCGCCTTCCGCACGCTCATACTGTCGTGGGTGAGGTAGACATCGCAGTAGTCGCAGAAGAACTTCGGCATCGTGTACAAGGTGCTCGTCTGGGCGCAGAGATGGAAGATTCGTAGTAATGGGGTTGGTAGCGAAGTTGCGCGTGGAGTACTGAGCGCGTCGCAAGAGCTAGAACTGGAAGAATCCCGTCGGCGATAGTTGCGCCGATGGTCTTGGCAAGCCTCATCGCCCTTTCACGTGTTCCATCCTGAGTCCACACCTTCCACATCATGCATCGCTACCCACGCCATATCGCATCGATGCAAACTAAGCACTATTCGAATTGAGCTCTTTAAATCAGGATGTGCTCGTAGGAGAGATCGAATTTCGCATGCAAAGGCTACAAAGGTCGTCCTTTTGAATCCATCCACGGCTCCGTGAGGGACGCGTCCAACAGTCTCTCATCGAATCTTCTACCACCATCCTCTATTGAGGATCATGAGCCGACACCTCAATCTCCACCCTCATAGCATCCTCGCCTAGTTTGACAACGCCAACACACGTCCAGATAGGCTGATGGTCCGGCATCCATTTTTTGAAATTCCGCACCATAGCCCCCAAGGCCTCATTGTCCATAGGAATGTGGTAAGAGTTTACGCGGAACACCTGCGACCAACCCTTCCCACCAGCGGTCTTCAGAGCGAGTTCCACGTTCTGGAAAGCTTGGTCGATCTGTGCGTCGATGTCTGCCGGAATGAGTCTGGTCATGGGATCCCATCCACCTATAGTCGCAGTCATCAGTTTGTGGAGCTCAAGGAATTCATGGGTATGAATTACCTTGGCCTGCACACTCGATGCGGTCACCGATCCGGACTGACTGGCTGTAACTAGTGTTCTCTCTGGCCGACTCGCCCTTGCCGGGGTAGGCGTAATACTGAAGATGCGACATGTTTTTGCGGCTATGTGCGTATAAATTCAATCTTTGGAGATTCCGCACGTATCGTAACATTGCGGTACCGCAGCATTTATAGGTACCAACATTGGCATATGACGCATATACTAATCATATACAGTCCGGCTGACCAAGCTCGCAGGGAGCTATCGTTAGCTGCTTGGGTGGGCTCGCGGCTCCTTCTCCGCTGCTCCGCTATACCACCGCGTCCGCTACGCAATCCACAACACCACTCCGTCGTATATCATACAACTATACGTAACATAAGGATCTGATCTGGAGTACGGTAAAAACAATACCCAGGTTCAAAGACTCGTTTATCAAGTCAAGGGAGCCTGTCTAGTTGGCACGACCGATAGCCCAAACACCTACAACACCTCAGTCCCCTTTGAACGAGTATCGGTGTCCAGAACCAGACTGTCATAAGATTTACCGCAAATGCGCTATAAGCTGTCAGTATCATGCAGTAGGAGGTCACATCATAACATACCAGACGTCGCTCCGAAAAGTCCTTACGAAGCTCCAACCACACTTCCCGGTCCGTACAATCCGGCTTGCCTTCCGATGTGGACCTGCATTGAGGTTGTTGCTCTGAAATTTGCTTCTCTGTCGCCTTCAACCAAGGCTTCGGCAATGGCCAGTCTGAGAAATGGACGAACTTAGCTTCCTCTATCACTTCTCGTGCATTCCAACTATTTGTTGGCGAACCAAGATACGCTTCACGCTCATTGGCCTGTTGACCAAAGGTGCGAGTCAACAGAGCGTATCTGCGAGGTAGGAGCGCCAGGGCAGAGTTACCGAACACCTTGTTCAATATTTCCATATCGTAATCATTGCCTTCGTGGTGTTCCATCGCGTCCTGCACCCGTTGCCAGCTATCTTCCGACGGCTCGATGACTACAAGCAAAGACGACAGGAAAAACCGGTCGAGCCAGTATGCGCGAGGCATTGCGACTGGAGTTGTAGGAAGGAAGAAGAGCTCATCCATGTTCTGCTACTCATTAGCCAGTGTCGTGATTAGGAGAAAGAAAACGGCCTACATTGAACAGCGTTCCATCAGAATCCAAAGCAATGACGCGCTTATACTGAGTCTGGTTGAATGCTAACAGCTTTGTATAGCTATCCTGCCAAGTCGTATCATTCTTGTTCTCGTAAGTCTGCACTTGAATAGGACTTAATCGTGCCCCATATCTACCCCGAGCCCGAGCAAGTAGCTTTCCTTCATAGTTGGTAGCATCCGTCTCATCTTCGAATACACCACTAGACACTTCCCATTCTTGGGGATACAGCATGAGGAGTTCTGCTCTTGTTCCGTGTCGTCTGAGAGCCTCGAATATCATGAGAGAGTTGCAAAGATAGCTTGCATCTGTCACGTATTGTACGTATGCGTAGTGTGTCCAAGTTACGTTCTTGCCTATGGCTGCGGGTGGGTACGGCGCGCGGTTCTTTGCGGAAGTATAGTCAGGTTGAGGGGACTGTCGGGATGTGGATAGTCTGTAAAGGTTTCTTGCGAAGACATATGCTAGCAAGAGTGTTACTCCTACAATGAAGATGGCGCAGGGCTTACGAGTCGTAAGCGCAAAAAGACGTCGCATGGAGAAAGTCAGATGCGCTATCCGAATGATGCATGAAGAAGAAGGTTGGGCGGAAGAACTTAACAGAATGGCTAGTGTGCAAGCGAGACTCTGGTGTTTGAACACAGTCTGGAAAACTGACAAAGGCAAGCGCAAGAGATCTCACTGTCTGCTCGTACTTGGTGAATGACTGGATTCAGTACCTACGCAGATGCGGGTAAACCGTGAACGTACCACTGTGAAACAAACAGTAGAGAGGCCATATCGCACTGTTCGCTCTCGAACCGAGTGAAGGAGAAAGCATACTACGAAACGGAGTCTTGTGACAAGGCAAGAGATTCCAAGACTGAGCGGGTATTGTCTCGCAGTCAAATTTACATTCTTCAGCCTGCTAGCACGTCCACTGTCGTACACTACCGGAGCATTGACTGTTAGCGACGTATCCGCCCGTATCATTCCAATCTTGCGCAAGAATGGTGTGATACCCTCAGGTTCAACAGCAAGGTGATAGGAATGAGGCATGGCTGGTACTTGACGCTTGGGTAGAGAGATCAAGTATAGACCTTCACAAGCAGCCACGAAGACGCATGCTACAATCGCTGAATCATACCTGCCGGGCTGAAAATCATTATGAAGACCTGTAAAGGCGCGATCCTTCCATACGCTATAAAGTCATTGTTTCGAAATTCTGCCCTTTCGCACGCGGGACCGTTAGTGGAATTATTCGCAACGTTCCAATCCGCGACACGAGAATTGCCCAAGTGGTGGTTTTCACCCCCATCACCCCACGTTGTACAATGACGCAGACATTGATCGTCGCGGTACCAGGGGACGAAAACAGCTCTGCGGGGCAAGCTCTCCCGTGATTCAATGGGTACATGCTGGCAGAGTGCCTAGTCGACGCTTCCAATTCATAGAACCTTTCGCCATCCATTGGAGAGACCGTGATCCGGTCGATGATCTGTTTGTGAGCAGCTGCAGAGTTGACAATACTGTAACTATCGCTGAATACATTATTTGATGGCATAGAAACGGGTTTGGCAACTGTGTAGCCGCGCTGAGCGGTTGAGTGTGAACCTTGTACGTGCTGTGCTAGTACGGGAAGGGACTCAAGCAGCGAGAGATGCCTGCCGTGCGATAATGCACGACAAAACATGCTTACGCCCAGCATTCCAATGCGCAAGATATAATGATGCGTCGTACGGCAAGATGCGCATTTCGCAGTCTTCCTCCTTCAACATACTCGTTGCAAAATGACGGGCAGCGTTGACGATGGCGGGGCCAGCCCCACGCTGAGCAATTACAACAGCCTCATCGCGATTGGCGTACCAACCGCACTACTGCTGACACACCTCATCCGTGTCGCACTGCAATGGTACCGTCTATCGCACATACCCGGTCCCTTCTGGGCATCAATATCCACCTACTGGATCATATCGAAATCGCTCAGAGGGCAACTGCCTTTCGCGACGAAAGAACTAACCGACAAATATGGCCCGCTGGTACGCGTCAGTCCAACCGATCTGGTCACCAGCGATCCAGACATTGTGCGCAGAACAACAGCAGTGCGGTCTGAATACACACGAGGGCCATGGTACGATGCAATGAAGCTGGAGCCTGGACGCGACAATCTCTTTTCGATGCGCGACGAGGCGGCGCATTTGAAGTTGAGGAATAAGATGGCTCCTGGCTACTCTGGGAAGGAGAATGAGTCCATGGAAGGCACTGTTGATGAACAGATTGCTGCTTTCATCGATCTGATTGAGACGAAGTACATCTCGAATGCGACCGAATACCGGCCTATGGATTTAGCGCTCAAAACGCAGTACTTCACACTGGACGTCATCAGCGCATTGGCATTCGGGAAACCGATGGGTTATCTAAAGCAAGACGTCGATCTCCACGATTACATCAAGATCACAACGACATATGTTCCAGTTATGATGGCGCTTTCGTACGTGCCTTGGCTGGCGAATCTGCTACATTCGCGCCTGTTGAGAGGCGTGCTTCCTAAAGAGAGCGACAAGCTCGGCTTCGGGGCCTTCATCAACGTGGCTAGGAAAGCGGTTGCGGAAAGATTTGCATCCGAGGAGTCCAAGCCAAAGTCCGACATGCTTGGATCTTTCATTCGTCATGGGCTTACGCCGGAAGAAGCATCGAGCGAAGCGCTCCTGCAGATTATCGCTGGTAGCGATACTTCGGCGTCTACGATTCGCGCTGTGATGCTGCATACGCTGACCAATGCGTCTTCTTATAGAAGACTGCAAGCGGAGATTGACGACGGTATCGCTGCTGGGACGATTTCTTCCCCTATTACGGATGCTGAGGCGCGACAACTACCGTATCTTCAGGCTACTATCAAAGAGGGCTTGCGCATTCTGCCTCCAGCGAGTGGGTCGAACTTCAAAGCCGTTCCTGCAGGCGGTGACATCCTTGCCGGCAAATTCATTCCTGCAGGCACGCAAATTGGGTCTTCCTATCTCAGCATTCAGCACTCTACAGATATCTTCGGTCCAGATGCTGAGCTCTTCAGGCCAGAACGTTGGCTGGACGCTTGTGAAGATCATGCACGTCTTGCGCACATGGCCAGTACCGTGGACCTAGTCTTCCACTACGGAAAATACAAGTGCTTGGGCCAGAACGTCGCGTTGATGGAATTTAACAAAGTATTCGTGGAGCTACTGAGGAGGTTCGACTTCTCGATCGTACATCCGCATGAAGCGGCGAAGATATACAATGCCGGGATGTGGATTATGGAGAACTTTTCGGTCAGGGTCACACGACGTGCAGTCTGATTAAGACGTGACCAGGGCTGAGTGAGATGCGCTTCCCATTGCCGTAGTGCTGATGCACTTGTTAGGTCTTACGGCGGGTTGCGGCAGATGTCGACATAACGGAAGGGAGGGAACCGACATGTCACCGAAAGTATCGGAAGCAAGGTTCATGTCATCAATCTCGGCCTCCGGGTAAACCATGTCTTGTATTGACGCACTTCAAAACCAACGTCCGAACAAATTGAACAATGTATAGCCTGCTGTGTAACTTGACAGTTTAGGTGAATGTGATGAGTATTACGACTGTAAGACGTAATGGAATCGACCACTACAGGCTCAATGCGCACCTCATAGATGATGACGACTCCAAATCGAGACAATGCATCGCATACCGAAACTACGGAGTTCAGCGTGGCAGAAACAGGCCCATGTTGAAGAATATCGAAAAGCATGCGCCGCAGTATATACTCGGCTTTCCAAACCCAGCATCACTGCGCCAACCAAAACTGCTGATCGAAGCGTGGCAACGGAAAAAAGAAGGCCTGCACGAACAAGCATATACAGTTCTCGGCTTCTCAGACCTAGATCGCGGAAGACCGCTGATCGAAGCGTGGCGGCAACATTGTTCTGTCAGAGTTGGAAGAGAGTACTCGGTTTCCAAAACACCATCTGGGTCGACTACGAATGCCTACGAGGCGTAGCGCGGGTTGCATTGCTGATGAGAGCACAAAAGTATCATATGCTCGATTTGCCACGTGCACGCATCGCGAGCGGTACCAGTACCGGTGTTCTCCAACCCAGCCGTGTGACTTTCCTCGTTGGGGACGCTGCCGCTGGTAGAGACGCTGGTAGGCTCTAGCTAGTGGGTTATGTGTAACCGAACAACTGTCCCATGAGGCTGAGACACGCCCTATAGTAGCGCGAACATGCGTTCTACACATAGATTGAACGTTTTTCTTCTTTGCTCATGTGGCACATGCCCGTTGCGGCATTGCTTGGGTTTGCACTGGTGAGTTGTATGGCGGTGAAGAAGCATAGCGGCACGCCGGGCTCGCCGTTTCGATTGCTAAAAAGAATCTTACACGGGATGGTTTTTTTTCGCACGCCTCGCAGGTACTAAGCTCAGCCTTCTTCAGCCCTCGAGCAGTAGTGTTATCGTTTTTCTCGTGTCGGCGCTGGCTAGCGCTGAGTAGTTGGCGGGGTAGACCGTATTCCTCCTTCGCCCTCACGCACTTTCCAACATCATCACCATGCTGCTTCGTACTGTGGAATTGGACCTCGTACGACGAGGCATTGGGGCGTCACGATGGAAGTGGAGCTCGCCACTCGAAATAGACGGCCGATAAGCCTGTGCGCGAGGAGATTGCGATGGGGAGTTTGCGTGATAAGGCGATAGTGGATTGTTCGGGATGCTTTGTGCGAGGTTATTCCCGCATGTGTGTGGAGCGCCTCTATGTGAGGCGCTGGGGGTTGGGTGTTTAGCGACAGGAAGTGCATGCTGGCCGCAGATCCCCCTTTCAAATCACAGCCACTTTGTTTGCAACGGCAACGGCTGCTATCTTGCCGTCGCACAATGGATTGTGGCATTCTAATCTCAGCTGAACGGGCGAAGGGCAATACTAGCAAATCCTCCTGGTAAGATGACACTGCCGTATTCAATTGACAACTCACCCGCGCGTGATGTGACAGTCTGCATGACAGTAGGTATGGCACGCTGGCGGACGCCATGTTGACCGGAGCATTACTAGACATTGCTAGATACCGAGGGCGTTCCTGAGAGCTATATTTAGCTGCACGGCATCTGGAAGCGAAGAGAAAAACACGATGCGCCATCCAATCATGGCGGCCCTGCATTCCGGCAGCCGACAGGTCCGCCGCGTGAACGCAGCGTGGGCAGCCCAGGAAAAGCGACAAGCTCCACAGTAGTTCGTTCACGTCAGCGCGCTGACAATTTCCGCGCAACTCGGGGTCGGCTCAGGCCCAGGAGCCCACGGCAAGCAGCATTATCCTCGTGTGTAGACTGTCAAGCCCGAGGTTGGCCTGACCTGGGCGCCCGGCCAGCGTTTGATGAGCCACGGCCCAAAAGCAGTATAGCCTCCCACTTATCATTTGTTCCCTCTGCTGTAGCTCGCGCACGCTTACTTACTTTCCAATACTACGTTGCAGGCCTAGGCCGAATTCACGCCCACGGTACATGCGTGCTTCGTATTTCCATGACCGATCATCAGGTGTCGCTGGTGAGACGGCTCGTCAAGCGCACTGCGAATGATCTGCAGTACGAGGCGCGCGCTGTGGATAGTCGGGCGGTAAGGCGGAAGATGCAGGTCCCAGGTATAAGGATGACTGGCCGTCCTGCATGTCGGGATCTTTTTGTACAGCTCGCTCAACAATCACACCAAGCAACCGCATTCGCTTTTAGGTTGTTGTCCTTCGCTTTCCTGCTACTGTCAATCGGGATCTTAGTACCTTTTTAATACTTATACCTTAATCATGCGTACCTCAATCTTGTCCGCCACCTTGGCTGTTGTAGCCAGCGTCTCTGCGCTTCCATCTCCCCAGGAACTTCCCTTGACCAAGCTCATCAAGGCCCTACCCCTCAACATCTTCGCCGAGACACCAAAGTTCGTTCAGCCCGTTCCTCTCGCGGATGCCAAGCGGATATTCGAGGAGCACAATGCCACACAGCCAGAGGAGCCTGCTGCGCAAAACCAAAACTTCCGCGTCTCTACACTCGCTGCCGCTGCAACATGCGCCAACCCCCGCGTCCGCGTTGAGTGGGACTCCTACCCCGACAGCAGCAAGCAACAATTCGTGGATGCCATCAAGTGCTTGATGGGCCGCGCTCCCTCAGGCCAGTTCCCCGCAGCCAAGAGCCGGTATGAGGACCTCGTCGCCCTCCACCAGACCCTGACACCCAACGTGCACGGAAACTCCAAATTCTTGCTCTGGCACCGATACTACACCTGGGTCTTCGAGGACATTCTACGCTCAGAATGTGGCTTCAGCCAAACCATGCCATGGTTCGACGAGACCAAGTACGCCGGTCGCTTCTCGGCATCATCCATCTTCTCAGCCAAGTGGTTCGGAGGCATTGCCCTCGGCGGAAACTGTGTAACCAATGGCGTAAGTACAACCCCATTGTCCGACACGCCTCCTATAACCAAGCAACTAACACTCTACAGGCATTCGCCAACCTTGCCATTAACATTGGCCCCGGTTCAGGCAACACGCCCCATTGCCTTGCCCGCAACGGCGATGCCGCCAAGACCCAATACTGCAACTCCGACTACGTGAATCAATGCAACGCTTACGGCGACTTCGCCGGCATGGCCCAATGCGCAGAGGGAGGCCCCCACGCCTGGGGCCACAACGGTATCGGCGCTGTCATGCAAGACACGTACGGTTCGCCCGCCGACCCCATCTTCTGGCTCCACCACGCTTTCGTCGACCGCAACTTCCGCATCTGGCAGAACGCCAACGGTGCTCGTGTCAACACCATCAACGGCAACGACGCATCTGGCCGGGCTCTTACCCTCGACACCAACATCAACGTCTACGGTATCCGTCCTGATGTCAAGGTCAGGGATGTCCTCGACACCACTGGAACCACGCTGTGCTACAAGTACAACTACTAGAACTTGTTTGGCTTTTGTGCTTAGCGTTGCTTGGGTGGCAGTGCCCGTTTACGCCTTTTCGTGTTCTTAGCGCTTCTGTAAATATTTTATTAGAATGACATGTGTATCCATGAGAATGTCCTGTCTATTGTGAGACTATGTGCGACGAGTACGATTGGGTCGCATGGCCCCTTCATGTAATGAAAGTGGCTGAAACAGGCGACATTGTAACAGTACTGACGGCATGTAAGACATCGACCCCATATCCTCATCTTTGCAGGTTCTGACTGTATCTCACATGAAGATTATTGCCAAAAGCTAGTTCTCTTGTAGTGCTTCTTACTGTAAAGCACCCTAAGAATATACGCGATGTTCCATGCGCGACCCTGACGAACAGTGGCGTGAAGGTAGATCTCCAGGGCGAGCCTTTTAGAAAAGCTCATCAGAATAGGCTTTTCCGTACTTGATGTATCGTTACTATGATGTGACTGAGATTGGGGGGAGTTCGCAATTGTCGATCGCAAAGTGAGCGTTGTGAGCCGTCAGCGGGCACTGCCCTCCACTGACGAGATAATTCTCAACATCAGCGGCGAGCTCGTCGTCCTTCTTGTCCAGTCGCCATCCAAGCACATCCCCGTTTTCACCAAGCGTTCCCGACACAGTCGCACGTTTCAGCGACAAGCACTCCGCTATCTCTTTCAATACACCCGGCCATGCACAATGCTGAATAGACCTCAATGGTACCTTGGGCTTTTCTTCTGATGCGTCGTTTGGGCCTGCCGTCCAGGAAATGTCGCGTAGCCTGAGATCCTTCAACGTGGAGCTGTGTCTGCTCAGAAGTGACACCAATGTGTCCGGCGTAGCAGAAAAACCAGACAACGATAATTTCTGTAATTTAGGCCATGCAGTTTCAGCAGCGAAAACGTGGCGGATGCTTGCAAGTGGTGCAGTAGTGTCCACTGACCCGTTCTCCAGGCCGACTTTGAGACTTTCGAGCTCTGGTAGACACGCAATGAACATCTCCAGGTTTTCCATTAGTAGTTCCAACGTCCATTTAGTACTTTGGAAGCGCCAGTCACCGGAGAATCCAAATATCGTGATGTCCAGACTTGTTAAGCAATGTAGTTCACCCGGCTCCCATGAGGTGAAAGCCTGAGGTTGTACTCTGTCTAACTTGAGTTTTCTCAGCGAGGTTTTGCAATATTGCTGTATAGTCCGGAAAGCCTCCACCCCTGGTAGAGCATAGAAAGCGTTGATACCTTCTCCTCTACGCAACACGGGAGGTACGGGCAAAGCGCGGGGTAGCGTATGTGCCACTTTTCTCACACCTCGGTGGGCCTGCGAAAGCTGACCGTTGACCATGTGTATCGAACGCAAGTTTTGAAAGTTTCCAAGCGCCTCGAACTGGCTCATCGTTTGTCTTGCGATTCTCTCGTCCTTTACTTTGTCACCATACGCCTCCCACTCTCGTCGGTCCTCCGCAAGCTGAGCATATAACGGCTTATCTAGCTCTTGTGAGTCGCTGCGGCGATGTCGGGGCATGAAAAGACCTGCTGTGAAGTCCCAGTACCACTTCCATTCGTGCATGCCCTCGAGGCGGTAAATATGCCATAAATTGTCGTCCCAGAAGATGGTCTTGACACATCTTCGAAGTCGATCATTTGCACTGAGCTTCTGCAAGCGATCAATGCTCGCAGTACTGTAGTGGAAGATAATCGTGTTGAAGAGTTCTTCGGTGCCTGTCACGCACAACTGTTTGCTTGCGAGCCGATAGTGTGGTAAATCGTCACGGTGGACGTATGTTGCGATAAGCCGATGTATCTCTGCGGGAAGGTGCGGCACTTCGGCTGTCATATTGGATATCTGCGGCAGAAACCGGGCAGTGATGTTGGGGTGCGCGCTTCAGGCTGGGTGTTACCGTTGTGCGTGGAGTGGAAAAGATCATTTGGGTGTCGCAAGGCAGACGCGGCATGATGGAATGCTGGGCAATCACGCTAACCACCAAAGCACGTGCCCTGACCAGGACGCGTTCCTTCCCGACATCGATATGCTATCTGGGCAGTCTAGGAACAGATAAGATTGAGGATAACGACGGGATACAATTTTCCATAGAATCACAAAAGATGCCGGGCACTGGATTGATCTACAAGAGAGCGCAGATCCTGTCTTTGTCCACCGCCAACCGAGCTAACCCATTTGGGCAAGGAGAGAGCCCCTTGCTTTCTCTTCCCAACCACCGCCCTTTCGCGCACTCAGCCACCACAACACGCCACGCTGTCGTCAATCACTCACACAATCCACCCTTGCACCAATCTTGGCATCGATGCGAAAATTTGTAGCCATCTTCGGTACAATAAAACGCCGAGTTCCAAGCTCCTGGCCCAGCGTCGCAGAGGTCAGTTGGGAACGGCTGGCGCATGCATCCGTGGCAGCTCAGAGCGTCATGGGCGTATTCCCCTTGGCAGTAAGTATGAAGGAGCGTCTGGTAGTCTTGGCCTGTAGCAGATCAGCCTTGCGATTCTCTAAGAGTATTGAGGAACGAAGAGGAAGTTGCAAAGGGGTGGATTGGGCGAGGTATCTCGAGAGATGACGCACCTTTTCCCCAAACGACTTCGTCGAAGCAATATGTGCGACCGGGTTCGCCATCGCATTCGACCTGGCCCTGAGCGGGAATAGGACTGGTAAGAGCACCTTGTCTCTTACTCAGTCCTTGTGGAGGGGCCGCTGCTGTAAAGACGGCGAGAGAGACGATTGCCAGAAGAAGATTCATGGTGGCGGATTGTATATCGATCAAGGGGTGAAAACGGTGTATATCAACGAACAGAGGCTGATAGATGTTGCGACGCAGAATTTAGATGACATGTCACTGGCATAAGTAGGATGCCACTGGGCGTGACGTGGTCACGATAGATGGGCGCCAAAGGCAACAAGGCGATCCGTTAACTATCACAGTATCTCATGTCCGCATGCTCTAACTCGAAACCGGAAATTGTAGCACGAAGACGTCGACTGAGATCAACTTTGTCACACCTAGACTCGATGACAAGCACGTGCGTAACGCTACGCGCACAGTTGCTATAGCATCATCAGGAAGTCATATCCGTATGATGCCTAGCCGGAGAACCTCGAGTCACAACATCAATCTCCAAAGACGCCGTCTAAAAGACAGAGTAGGGTGATTGTGCCCAGCGAACAATGCTCAAGAGTGTTGCATCCATGGCGAAGCCTAATAGGCAGAACAAGGCAAGAAAGAGCGATACTAAGCTAGAGCACATACACAGTCACATTCCAGCAGGAGATGTCGGGATTCTTCACCCGATCAAGTTCGCAAGGGCCTGAACTGAAAACGCATCATAATTTACACCAACGCCTATTACCCAAACACCATAACGCGATCTACATCACACCCTCAAAATCTTCCAAGCTCGGCTTGCTCTCCTCGACAAGTGCATCCCCACCATCGAAGATCTTCTCTCCCGCCTTACCCTTCATCAAGCAATCTAATGCCTCGCCAACCTCCTTCAACACCCCCCTCGCAACGTCCTTCCACTCCTCAAAAGTCACAATCTCAATACCCAACTTCTTTCCTCCATCCTTGACAAAGGCCTGGCACTTCCACTCCCTCAACGGCTCGCCATGCGGATACAGCGTCTCGAACTTCGCTTCAACACCATTACCGAAAGGCAGTTCTTCGACCCAAGCAGGTGCTTGATGGACAACTGTATCGAACCAGTTGACCTTCTTAGCATCCCAATCCGTGCAGTTCTCCACGATCTCTGTGAAGCCCATGGACTCGTAGGCCGCGGAGGTAATGTGCTGGTGCTGCACAAAGTTCAACAGGTCGAGGTACGTCCAGCTAGACTTGAACGGTACGCGGAAGGGGATGTACTGCCATGTCGGTCCAAAGATGCGATCAGCGTTCGCCGCGCCGATGTTCCTTCCCGAGACGACCTCACCAAAGACTACGTCTTTGAGGCCAAGACGCTGTGACAAAACGAGCGCCCATGCAGCTGTTGGCAGCGACCCGATAGTGATGTTTGCCGGGCGGGCAGAGATATCAAACTCCATGTATACATCCGCAGGGCCGCGGTGTGTGAGCGGAATGTCGGGCTTCAGGACAGACATCTGGGAGCCAGAGAGAAGGTTCTGCCAGTAAGGGATGGCTTTTGGCATGTTGTCTAGAACCACGTGGTTTACGTGCTTGCTGAATGGTATCGTCTCTGGTACGTCGGTGCCTGCGTATAGCGCGGAGAGCTGCTCGTACAGGATGGGAAGACAGATCTCGTCGTATTGGGCGTGGGAGATGCGGAAGACGAGGGTGGAAGCGCCGGTCCTTGCGCTTGTGAAGAGGGTGAAGGACACGAATGACGAGCCATGCGGTTTGGGAGCTTGGATGTCGTGTTTTGTGAAGGCTTGGGCGACTGTGTCGATGTCTTCGTTGTCTGGTACTGCGATCTCGGTGTAGGGAACTCGCAGAGAGGACAGCACCACGCCAAGTACCTTGCTCTCGTCTTTTACAAAGACAGTGCGCAGGACTTCGTTGCGTGCCACGAGCTCTTGGCAAGCTTGCTCGAGCTTCTGACGATCGACTGGTGTAACGAACTTGATGAGTTCGTAACGAAGTGAGTAGCGTGGCAGATCGACGGTACCCTCGACAGCGAGTTGCTGGAGCGGCCTGGCAGGGTATATATCCGCAATCTGCCATGTCTGATCTTGCAGGTATGCACCGATGCGGTCGGCACTGTATAGCGACGCTTCCTTACCGAGCGCGGCGAAAGCTGCATCGATGTTCACGTTAGTCTGCGATGCATTTGCTTCCGCCGCGGACGAAGCAAGCTCGGAAAGAGATTGGCTTTGGAAGACTTGCGCGACGGTGATGTTGAGACCCTGGGCGCGTGCGTCGGATACGAGACGCATGGCACCGATGGAGTCGCCTCCAAGCTCGAAGAAGCTGTCGCTGCCGTTGATCTCGCTCTTGGGCATACCAAGAATGCGGCTGAGGATATCCAACAGCTTATCTTCTTTCTCGTTGCTGGTCGAAGCCGCCAACTCGGACAACGACTGGCTCTGGAAGACTTGAGCCACGGTCAGATTCAAGCCTTGTGCGCGCGCATCGGACACGAGGCGCATTGCACCAATGGAGTCACCACCCAGTTCGAAGAAGCTGTCGTTGGGCTTGATCTCGGTCTCTGGCATACCGAGGATACGACTGAGAATACTGCACAGCTTCTGCTCGTTTGGCGACGACGCCTTTGACTTGGCATCTTGAGTCGGGCTGTCGATTGGCGAGGTGCCTACACCACTGTCGCTCATGACACCTCGCGGCCTCATCGCCTCTGCATCTCGAGCCTCGGCAGGATCGAGAACAGCCACATCGCCCAGCTTGCTCTCGGGGTTACCCAAGAACGCCGTGATGATGCGGTTGAACACGACAAGTACCCTCTCCATAGCGTCCTTGCTGATGCACTTTGAATCGAAGCTAGCCATGACCAAGAAGCCGTTCTCGTCCAATGTGCACACGAGCATGAGTGCGTATGTGTTGAACTTGAGTGCTTCACGTGCAGCTTCTGCGTCATCAGCGGGAAGGAAAGTATTAGCAGGGGCAGTCTCCATATCGACAGGAGCGCCGTCGTCGTCCTCTCTGGGATGCAAAACAAGACCCGTGCGCAGATCGCATGCTACTCGTGCGTCCTTGCTTAGACGGCGGATATTTTGCAAGCCCAAGTGCTCATGCGGGATCTGCTGCACAGTCTGCGCGTGAACGGCTTGGAGATACTCAGCGATTGGTCGGTCGAGGTTCAACCGGACGCGAATGGGAACCGTTGTGATCATGGGTCCTTCGATCTCCACAATCGCGTGTACGGGCGCGGAACGACCGGTCAACGTCTCTCCGAACACGACATCGGGATGGCCCATGTACAACGATGAGGTCAATGCCCAAGCTCCGCGGATGATAGTTGCCAGAGTGAGCTTGTTGTGCGCTGATGTTGGGACGGTAACGTAGTGTTCGAGCAATGAGTCGGCTTGGGTAACATACCCCTTCTGTGGTAGGGGAGGAAATTGATGCGGGTTGACGCCGTTCAATCGCTCTTTCCAGTAGTCTCGAGCTACAGCTGGGTCAAGGCTGGTGAGGTGCTTGATGAAATGCTTAAAAGATACAGGTCTTTCAGTCTTGAGGCCATTGAAAGCGCGGTTGATGCGATCAAACACGAGAGGCATCGACCAGCCATCGTATACAGCGTGATGCATCGTGATGACGAAGTGAGTCTTGTCGCTACCAGCTTCTTGAGCCAGACCGTAGCGGAATAGTGCAGTGCCCAGATCCATAGCTTCTTCGCGGTCGCGTCGAAGATACTCTGCTGGATCATGACCATGCTCGCGCAGTAGTTTGCCGTCCTTCAGGACGACCTGGTAAAGACCACGGCCAGAGACGTTAACGATTCTCGTGCGCAAGATGGGTGAGCCCTGAACTGCGACATCGAAGGCTTTCTTCAAGCGCTGAGCGGTCGCTGATGGCAATGTCGCAACTCGCTGAGCGACATAGGCATCCTGGAACTTGGCCGAAAGGGCCATGAGACCTTCTTGAAGCGGCGTGCAGGGAAGAACGTCCTCGACTTCGTCAACTTCAACACCACACAGCTTGGCAGTTTCGGCTTGTGCGGACTTCGCTTCCCAATCCTTTCCAACCAGCGAGAAAGCAGGTACGTCGTTCGTTGCTTCTTCCGACAACGGTGTTGCCTTGGCAGCCATGGCCGACAGGGTGGGATTCAGCATGATGTCTGGAACGTGTAGCAACAACCCAGCTTCTCTCGCAAGAGGAACCAGCCTCATCGCTCGGAGCGAGTCTCCGCCCATACTGAAGAAGTTGTCGTTGGCACTGAAGTCCGCTTCTCCTCCCAGAAGCTTCGCCCACAAGGAACGAAGCTTGAGCTCCGTCTCAGTAGTAGGCTCTTGCTTCTCAGAGATCACTGAGTTGAAGCGCCTGAGATCTTGGCGTGTGACGGAGGTACCGATCTCGCGAAGTCGCTTCCGGTCTGTCTTGCACGACACTAGTAGTGGCATCTTCCAGAGCGGGATGTAGGCGCTTGGCACCATGTAGCCGGGAAGATCGATGGCGAGTTGCTTGGTCATGGCTTTGAGGGCTGACTGGAACTTGGTGGTGAAGCTTCCAAACACATTTCCGTCGAGATGTCGCATGCCGTTCTTCTTCTGCTCGACGAGGAAAGCGACGAGCGTCTGTTCCCCACCTCCACTGGGCTTGATGACTTCAACAGCGAGTTGAGTGTCTGCAGGGAGATGCTTCTGCATGTTGAACTCAATTTCAGCTAGCTCAATGCGCTGGCCTCGCAGCTTGACTTGCTGGTCTTGCCGTCCGACGAAGATGGGTTCACCGTTACCGTCAGGGTCGAAACGTACGAGATCTCCAGTCTTGTAGATGCGCCCATGTCGACCTGGATAGCTCTTGCTACCTTTGAGCAGGAACTCTGGGTCTTCGATGAACACTTCCTTCGTCTTTGACGGGTTGTTGAGATACCCGTCACCGACGATGGGGCCTTCGATGAGCAGTTCACCGACTGCACCCACTGGTACGAGCTTGTTGTGGTCTTCAGGCTCGGTAAGCCAAATAGCACATCCCTTGCGCTTGCCCATAGTGATGTATGGCTTAGCAGCCACGTTGTCGTTGATGGTCGCACCAACCGTGGCTTCCGATGGTCCATAAGCATTGACGACCCTGGTCCTTTGACCCCACGACATCGCATCGCTAGTCGA